TGTTGGCGTAAAGCTCTGTTGGAGAAAAATCACGTCACAGGGCGTGACACAGTATAAACACCGTGCAATGATCTAAGGTGCCTCGAGCAACCACGGCATTCATCCAGCTGCACTCAAGACGCATTCTTTTCGTTTTAGGCGCTTTTTCGGTGTCATCGATACAGTATGCAAATACAGCGCGGTGCTGGAAGCGGAAAAGGATGCGATCGCAGTATTTTGAAATAGATGGGAGACTAGACTAGTAAGGGCCCTTTTACAGAGTATGAGCATTGCGCTGGAGGTCCCTAAGCAAGCTGTAAGGGACCTAGCGTGCTTGCTCGGTGACGAGCAGTGGCGTGCAGCGACACCCCAACAAGCTCTGACCAGCCCAGCACTGGAATCAGAAGCCATGTAGACATGTAACTTGAGCTGTGCCGTGGGGCTGGTGGCGGGGAGCCGCAAGGGCAGGCGCTGCTCTGGAAGGAAAAGTGTGCCAGGAGCCAAGGGTGACAGGCAGGCAGCCAAGGGCAACTACTGACTAGGGGGCTGTCCCGCAATACCCACAAACGACAAGCACGGCAGGTCGACAGCCCAGGTCACCAGACAAGGCTGGGGCAGGTCTGAGGTCAAGCCAGAAAGCCAAGTCCATAGGTCAGGATCAGCATGTCCAGATCCAAGTGTGGCTGCAACATAGTTCAGACAGGGACCAAGCACAAGGGCCTCAGCTTAAATGCTGCTCCCAAGGGACGGTGGCAGGGTGGGAAGCACCTGGCTTCTTCCAGCTTTTTGAGTGGCTGCAAGGCCAGCAGGCATTGAGGCCAGAGGTGCCTCAAAACCAGATGTTTGCATTATCTAAATTGCATTATCTAAATTACATTAAGCAGCCAAACCCCTAGGAGAGAGAGGAACGCACAGAGGGCACAGAATCATCGAACCTTTCAGGTTGGAAAAGACCTTTAAGATCATCAGCTCCCACTGTTAACCTAACTCTGCCAATACCACCACTAAACCATGTCCTTAAGTACCTTCAAGAAGGGCGACTCAACCACCTGTCAGCCCACTGACACTCTCCCAGCTGACCTGGCTAGGAAGTGGAGGTGTGCTCTGCCGCGTCGACGTACCAGGCCGCTTTATTACGGTGGGATTGCAGCAGCTGTTGTGGTGGACTTGAAGTAAAAAACCAGCTGTATTCAGCTCCTTGATCCACTGTGTGGTGGAGGATGATCCCAAAGGGGAAAATCCACTAGCCACATTGTCCTCTGCTCCGTGTAGGTTACTGTTCGTTCAGAGTCCTACTAGCTGCAGTTTCATGACTGTCCCAAGTAACAGCAACTAAAAGACTATGTTTGAAAAAAATCCCAAGAATACTGGTTGACTGGTGATGCTGCTGGTGATCCCTTGCTACTCGGGATTGCTGTCAGTGCACCTACCTCCAGCGTATCAAGCAAGAGCTGGAGGGTGCTAAGTACCTGCAGAGGAAACAACGTGGTTTAGTAGGACAGAGAGAGTTTTGCTGGGAGGGAGCTATAGCTGTCACGGAATGACAAAGTTCCAGAGACTGTGCTTCCCATTTTACATCGTTTCCGCAGAGCGTTGCATGACTACTGAGTACACAGTACTGACCTTCGGGAACAATCTTTCAGACAACCAGCAAGACAGTTTGACTGTGACTTAGAAGATTTGGATTTCAGTGCTAGCAACCAGTGAGAAAACAACACTTTTTGCAAGGCATTTGTGACTCAGTTCTCACGGAACAAGGAAGACATGCAGTGTGGGCCTTTATGAAAGCGCTGTGACCTTCCCACGTGATGGGCACTGTGCCTTCATTTTCAGGTTCTGTATGAAGTAATGATCTCTAGAAACAGACAACAGGGCAAAATATAAAATTCTATCAAACAGCCGGAAGCACAGGGAGTCGCAAGTACCTACCCACAAACTACCCCTTGCACTAGTTGGAAAAACAAACGGCACCCCACCGCGGCAGGTCCTCCAGCGACGCACTGCTGTTCACTGCCATGGTTTTTGAGGAGCTGCCTTCTTCTCGTTGCACATGCCAACATTAGCTCTTCCCATGTTTCAGGCTAACCTCTCTCCGGACTACTGTATCCATGTCATCCACTAGCACACTCACACAGCACAGTTTCCTGCCTTTGCCATGCACTGTTGGAAGCCCAGGTTGTGTATACAACTGCTTTTTTTAAATTTTTCTTCAAGAATTAAGCATTATTCCTGGGGATTTTTCTCTGTGGAAGTAAGATGGAGAAAATGTTGATTATTTCAACTCAGATTTTCCAAAAC